TAAATGTGAGAAACGCAAGGGGCCTCCAAGGAGCCGCCTTGATTCTGCTGCTGCATGCGAAATGCTGCAAGGGCTGCTTGCTGCAGCAGCTTCCACAGCGGGCCCCACAGGTGTACTGCAGCTGCGAGCTCCTAGAGAGTTCACTCGTCAAAAGCAGAATGACCCTTTGCTGCAAATGGAAGCCCCTGAGAGCAGGGAGCTTTCCACCTAGCAATTAAAGGCGTAAGGGTGTATTCTTGTATTTGTTGATTGAGAAGAAAAACGTCATTTTTTGGCGAACTTTGTCAATCGCTTCAATCGGATTCATATCGTCGCACTTGTCATTGCATGCACTGACTCTTTACAATGAGCAAAGGCAGATGTATTTACGCCTTTTTAGGAGTGCATGCCTTAACCGTGCTGGGTACACTTCACAATGCTGTAGCAGCTACGAGGTCCGAGCTGGGGACCTTGGGTGCATGTGTTTGCCTGAGAGCATGCGTGTTTGCTTCCTTGCAAAAGATGCATGCATTGTGAATATATTCAGCTATCAGAAGCCGCACAGACACTAGCAGAGGCTCCTCTTCAGGGACCGTTTGCAGACAGGAGTGGACACAGTCGATAACACAGAAGGCAACAGAGATGGCACTGAAAAAGACAAACAAAGGAAAAGTACACGAGCGTGCTAACGGATTGAATGAAATTGGGAAGGGGTTGATGACCCTCTGGAAAAGGGATGCGTCAAGCAGAACTGGGGTTGCGGTACGAAGCAAGGAACTTAAGGAAAAGCCACTGAAGTTTTTAATCTAATTCAAAAGCGTGAATACACACAAATGCACGCAAGCGTGAGGCTGTACACGCACATTCGCAGACTGTGCACATCCGCTAAGCTGAAAAAATGCTGTCATATTGGTAATCATTAGGCTGCCTATAATTTCGCTCTTGAATGCACTCTGCATGTGGCCGAGGTATATGAATAAAGACCTCTATGTAGGGAGGTGTGTTTATCGCTGTTGAGATGCAGTGATAGTGCAAGCATTTAGAGAAAATATCACGCTTGCGGAGCTGTGGTCTTGCCACGACAGCGCCGGTGGGCGACGCTTATGTAGACGAACGAGAAGCGTACGCGCAATTGTGAATGAAATGATTGCGCTGCGTCGACCAGTGCAGTGGAAAGCGAACTCCCACACAACAAACACCGCAAAGAAACTGTTGTACATCTATTTCATGCCACCATAACAGCGCACGCTTGCTTGACATTCATGCATGCTTTTATCAAGTCGCTGACTGTCACGACAGCGCTTCCAAATACCTCTAACAAATGGCTACAATTTTATTGCTTGTAAATCGTACGGGGTTGTTGCTTGGGGAAGTCATGGGGCTCATCCCGCCGTCGGTTCCGTAGCTCAGCAGGTTAGAGCGTGTGGCTGTTAACCACAAGGTCGCAGGTTCGAACCCTGCCGGTACCGCCTCGCCAGAACTTTTGCTTCTTAATTTCTATCTGTTAGTAAAAAGATTTATACAAAGCCTTCTTAAAGAAACCGAGACGCGGTACCGGCAGGGTTCGAACCTGCGACCTTGTGGTTAACAGCCACACGCTCTAACCTGCTGAGCTTGGGAACCTGGAGAGGTTGCCGTTTCCCAGGCATACAATTAGATTCGATTGTTTGCCTGCTAACGGTTGTGTTTTGATGCCCTTAACTGCAACTCGGAAACGGCTGTGTATGTTTCTGTATGGCAATGCACACTTTTATGGCCAAGCATTCAGGAGCACCTTCTGGGATCTCACTTTCTCTGGATAACAATGCACAAATTGGGATCTGCAGTCGGACACCCACAGCGTCGTATAAATAGAGTAAATTCTTACTACAGAGGTCTCTACACTCTGTTATGCTGGTAATTAATGTATGTTATCAGAGCCTACCAGAGTATCTAGAGCAAAGTATCACTGTGCCTTGTCAAAGGACAGTGGCCTCAGATAAATCCGCATCTCTTCCAGGACGGAAGCAGACAAAAGAACGAACTCTATTCAGGTAAAAAACAAGCGTAGATATCAAGGCTCTTCTAGTTACATGCCTGTATGTAACAGAAATCAAGCAAACGAATTCTGCGTAGCGAGGTGTCGGCCGCGGGTTCCGTAGCTCAGCAGGTTAGAGCGTGTGGCTGTTAACCACAAGGTCGCAGGTTCGAACCCTGCCGGTACCGTCTCTTTCGTTATTCATATCATTCCTTACTCCCGTATAGTTTAGCAAAGTTACTTGAGCTATCAAAAAATGACTTCAGCATGGGTTTCGCGTCCATCGTCAACCGGCCACTCACGGAATAGCCAGTACTGTTGTTCTCTCAGGTGAACATTAACCATTAACTCAGGAAAAAGCTATTGAAATACTGCATCTGTTTGTACGCAGTGGGGTTTCGGCGAGCATTGACCGACCTCAGTGACACCTGCTTTGCGCATTCTCATACACGTTGTGCCAAGAACTTTGTCGGTTTTCAACAGTAGCTAATTGCATTTCCGCAGCTGGAAAGACGTAAATTCTGTTGGAGAGAAAAAAGCGCGGTACCGGCAGGGTTCGAACCTGCGACCTTGTGGTTAACAGCCACACGCTCTAACCTGCTGAGCTACGGAACCGACGGCCGGCCGTCTGCGTTCCAGGCACAGCAATGCAACAGAGTGAAGCAGCAGAAGATGTGGATTCAGCTTCACCATTCATAACTGTTGCGAAAGCAGGTGTAGCTGGATGGGGCACAGATTGTAAGCAAATCGGTGTTCAAGGCTCATATTTGACTCAAAGGCATCATTTTCTGCATCTTGTCTTTTCCTTCCGAGCTGCTCTTGCAAAAGGATATGCATTAGAAAGTTGCAAGCATACAGAGAATTAAGTTTACGGTACAAGCCTTATGAACGCCATGAGCATGCAAAATGCTAGTGTACTGGGAGCGACATATTTTGGGGAAGGAATTTTTTGCCGATGCACCTTTTAATGAAGTGGTAAAGTGAATAGCAGCTCTGCTGTTGCTTTTCTGCATAGTTTCTGCAGTGTTGTCCCAGATCACTTCATCCAGGGCGTTTACACACAGGACTGGGCTTCTCAAGATGCCACTGGCGAAACTGAACTTCCACTGTTGGGTGTTGAATTATATCGGTTTTATTCCTGATTGCTAGTTTGCCTTCTTATAAACGATCCCGTAAGTCTAGCCAATTCTTCGTTCTTTAGGTCCAGAGCAGCTTCCATTTCTTTGTGTGTTGGCTGCTGCAATGTTCTCGTTTATTGCTAGTAGGTCTCTTTTCTGTGTTCTTATTTCAATTGCTGCATGTTCAGAAGGTTTAGTTTGTGCCTGACTCTGTTCTCTTCCCCTGTCAAGCACCCCATCGAAGCATCGAAGCCTTTTCACTTCTCCTTTAAGCTCTCAGCGGAGTTGTAACGCAAATCATATTCTCTGGTTTTCTAAGCCGTTGTGTGGGGCGGTCTCAGCTAGAGCTTGCTCTGCTGCTTGCCCCCTTACCAAAGGCTGGATTCCTGTAACAGATTGGAGAATTTTCGGAAACCTTGGGTGTGGCTTTTGCAGTGAGAAAACCCGTGTTAGCCTGGATGACTACTTGTTCGTAGCCGCCACCCTATAGAAATAGCCGACCAGTTTGTGTGCTGCAGTGTTATATGAAGGAGAGGAGTGCGCATTGCCTAATTACACTAGTCACAAAAGTACTAAACTTGGGAGGTACCTGCCGGCTTTGCAGTGCGAATCGTTATGCCGTGACTCTAATACCCAGGTACAGTTTCTCTTCAATGCGGCTAAAGATGCCTAGATCATGAGAGGGCGCTGCCCATTGATGTCCAGTACTGCCCTAGAGCCTGCAGCGAGGCGTCTTTGTGGCTAAAAGCTACCGATCTCAGCTTCAGGAGATTTGCTTTCTCTCTGCAACTGAGGGCAGTCGGACAGAACCCTTCTACACTGCTTGTCGGCAGAGTTTCGAGAGAAAATAGTTGTGGGAAGTGCTTAGCTGTCTGCCTAATTACCCCGGCGCGGTAACCCAGTGCAGCTTTGCCCCTGCATGACCATTCAATATCCATTCGACCACTGCACGCTGCATCTAAAGCTGAATAACTGTAAAGGATGCGTCACACCAGCACAGGAGGGCGACCCCATCGGCTTTACGGAGATACAAGGTTTTAGGTGCTCCATTTCTGAAGAGAGGCCGCGAGGGAGCCGGGGGAAAGGCAGCAATAATAGTTATTATCTGGGGAGGGCTGTTTGTGAGGCCGCTTGCTAATTTATGCAGCTTACGTTGATTTGAAGCGAAGCCCCCGTGCATCGTAACACGCTGCTGACCTTCGCTGCTTACGACGGGGCTCTCGTAAATTTGTTAGAACTGGGAGCTTTTTAAACCCTAAAAGTGTTTTTTATATTTGATTTGATTTATTTTCAATGATTACACTCTTTCAAAAGCAAACCCTAGTGGAGTATTGCGTGCTCGTCGGTCGATGGTTCTACAGCCGCTCACGACTCGCCACCTGCAGCCGACACGCGACCCCCCCTACAACGAAAGCAGGCTTGGGTGCATTCAGAGAAGTTAATCTCTCTTTTTATTAAATTTCTATGATCATAAGAGCCAGAAAAGGAATAACAAGCCTTAAAACGCAAAAGGAAAAGCTGGCTCGAGAGCTGCATCGCCTCGCTGGCCAGTGGCTCTTCGTAGCGAGCCAGCCAACAGAGGCTGAGCGGCTGACCCTCTCAGCGCCCACCTGACGCATAGCCCTAAATGAATACTGGGAACAAGCTTATTTAGTCCAACCTCGTCTAAATAAGAAAGTGCATCATATTGCTGTTCCTCTTTTCTCTCTCACCTCGCGGTTCTCCTGCACAGAACAGGAGCGACCACTGACCAACGGACGGCGGCAGAGCCACCGCTGCTTGCGTTGTTTTCGGTGTTTGAATCGAGACAATCGCCTGTTACCTTTGGCTTTAAAACAGATTAAAACTTCATCTCTGACCTCGTTGTCGTCACTGCATCTGGCGCCATGGGCTGCAAGCCATCCACTCTCGGGCCTCACGCCCGAGACAGCGCAGGTGCCCCTGCTGCTGGTCCCGCCGTCGCAGATCCTTCCGCAGGAGCTCCCGCTGCTGCTGGCGGTGCTTCAGAGCAGCCTTTGCGAAGCAGCGCGAGCGGAAGCCTTGGAAGGGGGAGCCTGCGTCTGCGGCTGGCCTCCCTTAAGAACGACATGAAGGGCTTTGGCTCGCCGCGCCAGACTCTCGCCAACAGCTACGACAAGCTGAAGCGAGGCGCCTCTTCTTTGCGGCAAGCGATAACCCCCCGCACCACTCCGGGAGTCAGTCCGAGAGATGAAGTGACCCTGGAGGGCCCGGGAGGCTCCCACTCCATAGCCAGCGACGCCATCAAAGAGGCCGACAACACAGCCTGCTTGGATGTGGCTGAGACCAAAAGCCAGGCCGTCAGCGGCACTATGCACACGGCCATGGCCATGGACGGCGCGGCCGAGAGGCGGCTGGATGGCGGCGCCCCGGGCACGGAGCTGCAGGCAGTGGAAGTCATCAACAGGGAACTTCCATCTCCGCAGCAGCTCAAGGCTTTGTGGATTCTTATGAAAATCAACGCTGCAGAAGCCCCTCAGCAGTCCATGCAGTGGCTCCACGACCTCGAAGTCCTCCTTGTCGGGCTGGACCCCGTCGAAAGGCAACAACCCGTGAGTGCCAAAAGAGTGGCTCATAGAGCTTTTGTTGCAGCTTTCTGGTGGTGGTGATAAACAAGTATACTTGTTGTCATTTCAAAGCACTTTGGTCTCTCACCCGACACTATGCTTCCCCTGCTCTGTTCCACTTCGCATTTTCTCAATGTTGCTTCTAGCGCCGTCTACTATCAGTGTCTGCAGTTTCTTCCTGTGTTGTCTTTGAGTGCGTCGTCGAGCCCGCAAATAGAAATAGCAGCTTGAAAACCATAAGCTTTTCAAGCTGCTATTTCTATTTGTTGCTGGTGAATTGCCCACCTGCTTGGCTGTTGTTGCATCTCTGCCGCTGCTGCTTGTTGTTCGTATTCGTTTCTCTGAGAGCATATGTGTTGCTCCGTTTGCCTTCTAGTTTGATTCATCATTGTTCTTCTAGGCTTTATAAAATGACTCCTTCTTGTCCTTTCTTGCACGGCTATTTTTGTGGCTATTGACAGTTGCCCTAGAAGAGCTTGCTTAGAAGTACTCTGGTTTGTTTGGTCACTCAACTCCATTTTTGGTCTTCTCTCTAAATGATTTCAGACCCGAAACATCTTGGTGGAGGCGAAGGCACTTGAGATTTGCCTTAAGCCGCTCGCGAACTCTCCCGAAGAAATCCAACTTTGCGTCTCTTCTCTTGCCATCATTGTCCACCTTTGCATGGCCAAAGAGGCCTCTGAAAGGCTTCTCCAGCTGGGCGTAAGTGCATGCAGCACCCCAACAAGTAGTTTTTGCACTTTTTGATCTGAATCACTTGGAACAACGGCTAATATAGCTAGATAGCCATAACGCAGCTGCAACAACAGACAGACGCTTTCTTAATTCCTCTTTCCGTGATGAACCTTTTACCTTTTTCAGGGCATTGACATCACGGCCAAAGTTCTGAAGAAATATTTCTCAAAAGCAAAGAAACTGCTGAGAGATATACCCCTGATGCATGTGCCACCACAAGAGATCCTCCCCTTGGCAGCACTCGAACAGCAGCCTCAGCAGCACGAGCAGCAGCAGGAACACCCGCAGCAGCCCCAGCAGCTGCTGCAGCACCAGCAGCATCCTCAGCAGTGGACTGACCTTACTGAGCCTCCCACACCTGCGCCAACGCCTGAAGGAGTTGTCGGAGAAAATTCAAATCCCCGAAACGGACCCTCATCACCTCAGCAGCCTCCCGTTCTGAAGGGAGCAGCAGCAGCAGCAGAAGCAATGAACTCAGCCCCAACAGAAAGCCAGCCAGCAATAGCAGAAACGCCTCTGCCCACAGCTACTCCCCATACTACTCCTGTGGACCAAACTTTGAGCAAAAGCGATACGCCAACAGCAGCTGCTGGTATCGAGACAGGAGAACAAGCAGCAGCAGAAGCAGCACAGAAGCTTACAGAGACGCAAGCACCGACTGCAGCAGCACATGCAACAGCAACACCAGGACCCGCTGAGCACGCAGAGCCAGCAGCAGCAGAACCTGCAGCAGCAGCAGCTGCACCCGAAACCACCACAAAGAGCCAGGGCAACGGCCAGATAGCAGCTCTGAAACGCGCCTGCACCAAGCTTCAGCAGCAGCTGCCGCTGCTGCTGCAGCAGAAGCTTGGCACAACTCCCGAAATAATTGAAGTCACACAAGAACAACACGACCTGGCCGTCAGAGAACTAAAGCTTATTGTCGAGTTCATGACCCTTGTTTGGAGGCTTGTCTTTGCAACCAGCCTTGACGGGGACGAATTCGCACAGGTAAACGGAACTTACCACCTCCCCTCCAGGGTCAACGGATTAGAGCTAAAAGTTCTGAAACGTGTGCATTAAATAAACTCCTAGAGTTTATCGCTTAGCCATTGAAGGCCTTAGGAGCGCTTTTTTGTACAATAGGAAGCAGCTTGTTCAATTTTTTGTCTTAAGGGTTTAGAGCTTCAATTTAGATTTGTGTTTGTGTATGTTGTATATACTCAGCGCTGGGCGACCTTGGGAGTTCCTGAACTGGCAATAGAGGCTTTGGCATCTTCTGAGGCCTCCTTCAAAGAAAACGGCCTCGTTTGCTGGGGCTTGGGGGCCCTCCGATTCATTCCGCTAGCTGTTCCCTCCGTGGCTGAGACGTACGTACACTCGAAATCGCTTCTATCCGTTGCCTTCGACCGAATGGAACTCTACCACTCAGACCCTCTTGTCCTCGAAAACGGCTTCGCCGTACTGGCCAACTACCAAAGAAAGCAGCCGGCAAACAGCAAGCTCTTCAGCCGCCAAAGGCCTGAGGTGAGATGCGTGAACACAGGGCAAACATAGAGGCGGGCTTGAAAGTTGCAGACTATGACTTATCAAAAAGGGGCATTTGCATATATGTTCAGATTTTCACAAAGGTTAGGCTGTAACAGTACGTCAGTGCATGCGCTACTTTTGCTTTTGTTTCAGGCTTGGGGCAAGTGCGTCTCTTGGTTGCTGGAGGATGAGTCCTTTTCGCGAATTGATGTTCTCTTCCAAGGACTCTTTGCCCTTGGCCTCGCATGCAGCTACTGCCCACTAGCAGCCAAGCGCGTTAGGTGAGGCCCAGAGCTCACTTTTGCAGTTGCTTTCGAGGCCACTTTACAAAGAAATTATGTTTGCAGTTGGCGACAGCTTGCACTTTGGGCGATTCATATTCGTTGCTGCCATAGTCCTTGAGGCGCGGTTCGACCTCTTTGTACCCATCTCCTGTTACATCTTTTCATTTCTTTATGCCTCTCTTTGTTCTTGTGACTTTCTGTCTTTTTGCATCTTTGCCTCCAGTAATGTGTTTGCCTCTTCCTCCATCAGTATCTCCATTTGTCTTTGGCTCTGTTTCCGCAAGCCTAGTACATGTGCTTTCCTCAGTGCCGTTTTTTTGTTTGTCTCATGCTTTTACTATTTTCCCTTTAGATCATTTTCTTTCCCTGCCAGCCTCTCTTGCCTCCTACACAATGTGAGCACCCCGTGGTTTCTCCACGTTTCGCATGCATTGCTGCATGCTGCGGCTTTATATTTCTGTTTCCTTCCTTTTGCTTTTTTTGCAACTCAGGCTGGCTGGAGGCCTCACATTGACTGAGCGCGTGCTGGGGGCGAGCGATGAGCTGCCCAGAGAGCCCTCGAACTCGAGCACAATTGACTGCAAGTTGGCGACACTGCAGCAGTTCGCAGAGGGCCTGCGTCTTCTGTTGCTGCGATCAGACGAAGCAGATGCAGCAGAGAATGCCGCAGCAGTGCGGGCAGAAGCTGCAGCAACTCTGGCCACTGCGGACGTGCCCACTGACAAGGCTGTTGCCCCCACTGCTGAGGAAAAAGCCGCTCAAGCCGAGCACACAGAAGAAGAGAAAAACAAACTCGCAGAGAAACTTCAGTCTCCAGACAACGCGAAAAAGGCAGAGGCTGTAGAGGCACTTGTGCAGCATGCTGAAGAAGCTAGAGAGGCCCTCGAAGAAGCCCCTAAAGAACAGCAGGCTTCCCAGGAAACAGCTGAACAAACAAAGAATATTCTCAAGGAGGTGGAAAAGGCCGAAGAGGCAGTTAGCCAAGCCAAGGAGGCAACGGCTGAAGCCGAACACGCACTTGCCACAACTAAGGAGGAGGCGCCTAAGGCCGAAGCTTAAACGGCCAACAGAAAACGAGCCTCGAAATTTATGTGAGTTGAATAGACTGGGGATGCACTCACTGAGCATGAAGATAAAAGGGAGGCTGGGGAAATATAGAAGCTGCCTGGGCGCGATCCCATTAGATAGATAGATAAAGGAGCGCTTATACAGGCAAACAGAAACTCACGCTGCCCTGTTGCTCTCTAAGGCTGCAGAAGCACTTCCGAAATGCGCATGCATTTGCAAACCTCAGTTTTTTCAGCAATAAATTGGTGGCATCTTCTCAGCAGTTACTTGCCAATTCAGCACAGCACATGCGCACGTAACGCCTCTCAGACGGAACGCGCTGATCTGCTTTTATTTCTTCGATGTTTCTGTCTGCAGGAAGAGCAATAGCAAGCTGAAGCTGTAAAGCATAAAAAAACAGCAAGCCCCCCGGTTTTAACGGGGCATTCTAGATTACCAGATCTCAAGTTGTGTACAGCTGGGAAGCGACTGAGGATTTCGACATGCACAGACAGCCACCTGTGCAACGTTGAGTAAACGCTCTTGTTTATGTTGTCCTTGTTTGATCGTGTTTTGTGAATTTCTGGGAGCCGGCAGCTTCAGCTGTTGGTGGAGCTGCTGCAGCTCGTGTGTCTGTCTGTCTTTGCTGCCGGTTGCCCGGTTGAGTGCGTGGAACTGTTGTGTGAATCCCCTAAAGCTTCTGCCTAGGCAGGGGCACTAGCTTGCTTCGTGAATTTGTGTTGTGTCTTGTGTTGAATACGCTGGAAGCAGCAAGAAAAGCCCTTTCAGGTGTACAGGCATTTCAGTCGGCCTCTTCCCCAGTCCACTTCAATGTGAACCGTCTGCACTTGTGCCCGTCATTGTGTAATTTAGCCCATAGGGCTTCTGCGGGCCCCACACCCTGTCTTTTGGCTTCTTTGCCGATATGCGAAGGCTCAGGAGCTGACAGGCATGCATGCTATCATGCCGCGTGTGCACTTTGCAAGTGTGCGCACGCCCCAGATCATCGCGGCAATTTTAAGCGTAACATTTAACTAAGCTATTGCTATATTTAATCAAGCTATTCTTATGCAGCTTTTGAATGCGCCTGGATCACATTAGTTCGTCCTAGAGTACTGAACTCAGTGAACATATCCCAAAATAACGGCTTAGAATTCAGGTTGCGGCTTCGAGATGCAGCACAGAAATATGCCGCTGGTCAGACCCTTCTCCCCCGGAAAGTAGCAGCTGCTGGGTCTGAGCTCCCCGCTGCTTCTACTTCCACTGCTGCTGCTGCTGCTGTTGCTGCTGCTGCTGCTATCTGGCTTCGTCCAGCAGCTTTCGTGTCTTGGCAGCTCCTTCATCTTTTCCAAGCGCGAAGGCCTCGCAGGCCATACTGCATGGCTCTCTAGAAACGAATACGCATCAGCAAACCCTCTGCAGGGGCCCCCCGTGACAGGGCACAGCAAGAGTTCAGCAGCCAAGCTATTGGGGGGCCCCCGGGCCCCTGAGGTGACCCCAGCCGCGGGCAGGGGGCCCCTGCAGGTGTCGGAGTCTTGCAGACCCGTAGATGAGGGGGCCCCAGAGGCCTCCGCTTCAGCCATGGCTGCTTGGGGGCCCCTCGAGACCCACTGAGGACCGCTTTGGGCCAAATTGCTCTCTTGGGGGATCCTCTGGAGGCCCTTCGCAGGGGGCCCTTGGGGGCCCCCCACGAGCTCCACAGGGGCCCCCACAGGGGCCCCCACAGGGGCCCCTACGGGGGCCTCCACAGGGACCCCCGTAAGGGTTTCCCTGCTGCTGTGTGTTGTTGGGTTTGGGTGAGGGTAGAGGAGACCCTTGCAGGGGAGTGGATACAGGACAGCTGGCTGCTGCTGCAGCAGGTGCAGCACAGCCCCTTCGTTTTGCTGCTCGTCATTGCTGCAGCTGCTGTACACCAAGAGGCCCCCGGGAACCAGCAATTCGTAGGCGCGAAGCAGCAGCTCCCGCTGCAGCAGCAGCAGCTCTTCCAGTTCAGTGAGCTGTGAAGAAGAAGAGTCAGCGGAGGCTTCGGACTCCCCGCGCACTGGCAAATCTGGCGAAGTGGACTCTCTTTGCGGCTGCTGCTGTTGCTGCTGCTGCTGCTGCTGCTGCTGTTGTCGCTGTTTGATTGCTTCGCGAAATCTGGAGAGGTGCCTAATGCTCGCGTCGTGCGTGCACTGGACATCGAGCAGCACTCTGTCAAACTGCGCACTTCCTCTAGCTTCGCCTTTGCTGCTGCTGCTGCTGCTGCTGCTGCTGCTGCTGCTGCTTGATGGAGGACCCGCGATTTCGCCCACATTGCTGCGGCTTGTAGAGCCCCTGCAGCCACTTCCGCCGTCTTTGCTGCTGCTGCTTTGGCCGCTGCTGCTGCTGCTGCTGTTGTACCTGCTGTCATCGCCACCTGCCACTGCCGCTGCTGCTGAACCTGCTGCAGCTGGTGCTGCTGCTACTCCTGCTGCTGTCATTTCTGCTGCCAAGGGCGTTGCCATAATTGTTGTTTCTGTCTCTTCCGACGCAGGGCGCACTTGCATGCACTTGTCATTTCCCCTCTTGTTGCAGCAGCTGCTGCAGCTGCTCGTGCTGCTAGTTGCGTTGCTGCTGCTGCTGCTGCTGCTGCTGCTCGTAGTGTTCCTGTTGCCGCTGCCGCTGCTGCTCGTTAGAAAGGAGATTAAAGGAACTTCTTGGGCCTCCTTTCTTCTCCTTTCTTTCTTCCTCGCTAACCTCCCCTTTCCAGGGTTTCTATGTGCTGCAGCACTTGCTGCTGCACTTGCTGCTGCACTTGCTGCTGCACTTGCTGCTGCGCGTGGGGCTGCACTTGCTGCTGCGCTTGGTGCTGAACTTGCTGCTTCGTTTTCTGCTCCTGCTGCTGCATATGTGGGTATTCCCTGAGGGCCTTGGCAGCTGCTGCTGCTGCTGCTGCTGCCGCTGCTGCTGCAACTGCAGCAGCTGCTGCTTCCAAATTTGCGGCCGTCACACAAGACAAGCAGACCGCTGCTGCAGCCGTTTTTTCTAAGGAGGCGGCGGCAGACCTCCATTCTCTGAGGGCTGATATCCACGCCCACCACAGCCCCGTCTGCTGCTGCTGCTGCTGCTGCTGCTGCTGCTTCTGCTGCTGCAGCTACTGCTGCTTTGGGCGCTGTAGCTGCTGCAGGCGTCCGTGCTGCTGGCGCTGCTGCTGCTGCTGCTGCGCGCGGAGGGCTCGGCGAAACTGCTGCAGCCAGTAGCAGCATTTTGTTGCCAGGAGCGCAGCAAAGGTCAAGGCACTTGCTGCCAGGCGTGGGGCGGAGAGCAGCAGCAGCAGCAGCAGAAGCAGCATCGAAAGGGTGCAGCAGCTGTTGTCTGTACACCCGAGACGCAGGAAACCTGGTGTCTGGAGGCAGCGAAAACAGGGCCGGAAAGTAGCAGGGCGACTCCAGCCAGCAGCTGCAGCAGCTGCTGCAGCGATTGCTGCTGCTGCTGCTGCTGCTGCTGCACAGCTGCTGCGCAGGCGCTCCCAGCAAACTACTAGGCAGCCAGTGCTGCAGCACGGCAGGCTCTTGCAGCTGCAAGTCCTGCTGCAGCAGCAACAGCACGCGCTGTACGTACTGCGCATAGGCTTTGGTGTACGAGCAGCTTGCTGCGCTGGCGCTGCTGCTGCAGCAAGACCTGCTGCTGCTGCAGTCATCTCCAGCAGCAGCAGCAGCAGCAGCAGCGGGGTCTTGCAGGTGAATGGGGCAAGTCTCGGGAGAGAAACGAGAACGAAACGAAGCAGGCCGGAGGCTCTCTACGTAGTTAAGAGTGCATGCAATGCACATTTCTTCGCTGCTGTTGCTGCTGCTGCTGCTGCTGCTGCTGCTGCTGCTGCCGCTTTCTCTGCTTGGAAGGGAGGTGGCGCCGTCATCAGTGCCACTGCTGCAGCTGCTGTTGCTGCTGCTGTTGCTGCTGCTGCAGGTGCATGTGGATGCCGCTTGCTGCTGAGCAAGGGAGCCTTGGCCCCTGCGGTTGAGGGGCGGCGGAGGGAATAGGCAGCAAAAGTAACGGGGTACTTGCTGCTGCTGCTGCTCCTGCTGCTGCTGCTGCTCAAGCAGCTGCTGCAGTGCTGGGCTGCCCCTCTGCTTTTCCAAGACACCTAGAAGAGGCGCTGGAATGTTTTTGCATTGTCTCTCCATTTGGAGCCGGGCAAATTCCAAACTGCTGCTGCTGCTGCTGCGGCTGTTGCTGCTGCTGCTGGTGCGGCTGTTGCTGCTGCCGCTGTTGCTGCTGCGGCTGTTGCTGCTGCTGCCTCTGTGGTCTTTCGCCACGCAGTAGCAATGCACAGGATGATTTTCCTGCACCTTTTGCAGCAGCCTCAGGTCCTCTGTGGCGGTTGCTTATATTGTTGCTGCTGCTGCTGCTGCTGCTGCTGCTGCTGCCTTTCGCGTTGCAGCCTCAGGTGCCCAGATGCTTGGTGCTGCTGCTGCAGTACCTACATGCTCGGCAGCAGCTGCTGCCGCACTTATTAACGCTTCAGCTCTGCTGTCCCCATGAGCCTCAACAGCAGTAGAGCAGTGCCAACTGCTGCAGCTGTCTTGCTGCTGCTGCTGCTGCTGCTTCTGTTGCTGCTGCTGGTCCTTGCAGAGCAACAGCCCCTGCTGCTCAAAAAAGCCGAGCCAGTTTGGGGCACACAAGGGACCCCCGAAGCAAATAAGGAGAAATGGAGCAGCAAGGAAAAATATTTCAAAGAGATTCCTTGCTGTTCGCAGCAGCTGATCGGCAGCAGCTGCTGCTGGTGCTCCTTCTGCTGCTGCTAACCTGAAAACCTTGCTGCAGGAGATCAGGCGTTCGCAGCAGCAAAATACTTGAAATAAAAAACAAATTTCATGTGCTAGTTAAGATCGCATCTGCAGCAGCAGAGAGAACAGCTGCTGCTGCTGCAGCCACAATCGCGGTTCACAAGGAACCGTTCGTGGGGCCCCACAGCAGCAGCAAGAGCTAAAACTGCAGCAACAGCAGCAGCAGCAGCAGCAGCAACTGGAATCTCGTCTTTCAGCCTAACAGCAGCAATTCAAGCCAGAGACAACGGGGGTCTGGGGGCCCCTGTGGTGCAGTGGGGGCCTCTGGCTGTGTGCGGGCCCCTTGTGCAGCAGCTGCTCAAACCCTAAACCCTAGCCGCTAAACCCTAAACCCTAAACCCTAGCGGGCTGGGCCGCAGCTCAACGGCCGCACACGGGCCTGCTGCTGCTGCGCCGCGCTGCTGCTGCCCCAGGGCTTGCCTTTCTGCTGCTGGAGAGCAGCAGCAAGCAGCAGACATGAAAGGAAATTGAAGAAGAAGGGGCAGCAGCAGCAGACACGGAAGCAAAACTCCTCGGAAAGGCAGAAGCTGCTGCTGCTTCGCTGCTGCTGCTTCCCGAGAGCCGCCAGCAGCACAGAGACTAAGAGACACAAAGAGACACAAGAAGCAGCAAAAGGGGGCCCAGCTCTTTTGCTGTGGGGCCCCACAGGCAGCTGCTGGAGCTTGAGGTGTACAGACACCTCATGACTGGGGGGTGCCTCACACATGTGCGCAGAGCAGCAGCAGCAGCAGCAGCAGCGGCAGCAGCAGCGGCAGGGGAGCCGCAGCAGCTGGAAGCAACAAGCAGCAGCAAGCAACAGCAAAAATGGGACTGCTTTCAGCAGCAGCAGCTGTCTTGTGCCGCTCCAAACGCGCTATGCTGCTGCTGCTGCTCCTGCTGCTTCTGCAGGTGCAAGTAGGGAACGTCAATGAAGTCTCAGCAGCAGCAGCAGCAACCGCAGCAGCAGCAGCAGCAGCGCCACCAGCAGCAGCAGCAGCAGCAGCAGCAGAAAGCCCAGAGAGGCGCCCCTGCACTGTGAAGTCGACTGAGGGCTCGCCCTGCAGCTCCGACCCCCCTTTACACCAGCAGCAGCAGCAGCAGCAACAGCAGCAACAGCAGCAGCAGCAGCAGCAGCCGGAGGCGCCAATAATATCGGATGAGCTGCTGCTGGATCTGCTGCGGCGAGCCGAAGAGATACGAAGGGGGCCCCCAGAGGGGCCCCCCGCTGGCTGGGAGGTCTTGTCCAAAAATGTGAATTGTATAGTCTATAGGAGACAGCGCCGAGGTGGGGCCCCCTGCTGCTGCTGCTGCTGCTGTTGCTGCTGCTGCTGCTGCTGCTGCTGCTGCTCTTTTAGTCGTCTCCCTTCTCTTCGTCCTTTCTGTCTTCCTGGGCCTTCTTTTGACTGCGCCTCCACTTTCTCCCCTTGCTGCTGCTGCTCTTGCTGCTGCTGTTGTTGTTGTTGCTGTTGCTATTGTTGCTGCTGCTGCTGCTGCTGTTGCTGCTGCTGCTGTTGCTGCTGCTGGCTGCTTGTGTCTCCCTCTGTGTCCCTCTGCTGTCTCCTTTTGTCTTCGCGCTAGGGCCCTCCTGTCTCCTCTTGTGCTTGGAGTGTCTTTGTCTCTTTTTTATTTTTTGTTTCTTTTTTTTTCTTTTATTCCAGTTTATCTTTTTTCCTTTTTGTCTCTTTTTAATTTCCTTTCTTTTTCTCCTTTTGTCTTCTTTCCCTGCAACTGCTTCTCCTCTGTTTCTGCTGTTTTTGTCCCCTGCTGCTGCTGCTGCTGCAAATGCTCCTCTGCGTGTCTGTGCATGCTGCTGCTGCTGCTGCTGCTGCTGCTGCTGCTGCTGCTGCTGCAGGCCAGTCAGACTACGAGTACGCAGTGTGGGGCCGCTTTGCAGACATTTCTGCTGCTGCTTATCTTTCCACTTTAAATTCGCTGCCCCTCAGAAGCTCTTGGGACTCCACTGTGAAGGACATTCAGCTGCTGCAGCTCAAGCAGACGCCAGCTGCTGCTGCTCCTCCCAGCAGCAGCAGCAGCAGCAGCAGCAGCAGCAGCAGCAGCAGCAGCAGCGGCGGCGGCGGCGGCGGCGGCGGGGAGGGGGAAGAAGCTACCCAGGGGGCCCCCAGCGGAGAGGGGGGCCCCCAGAGGGGCCCCCAAGTGTACCCTGTGGGGGGCCCCGAATATGAAGAATTGATTTATTGGCGAGTGGGCCTCCCGTGGCCAGCAAAGGACCGGGACTTTGTGTTTGCCCGCCGGCTGCGCGGCTACAGAATCGCCAGCAGCAGCAGCAGCAGCAGCAGCAGCAGCAGCAGCAGCAGAGTGCATGCGCTCGTCTGCGGGCAGCTGCAGGCCGAGAGCGATGCTGCGCCCCCCGTGAGCGACGCTGTGAGGGTCACCACATTTGAAGCAGCAGTTGTGGCTTTTCCAGACAACGAAGAGGCCCCCGAGGGGGCCCCCGAGGGGGCCCCCGAGGGGGCCGCTGAGGGGCCCCTGGGGGCCCCTGGGGCCCCCGAAGCCGCCAGCCCAGCAGCAGGCCCCGGGGGGGCCCCCCGGGGGGCCCCCGGAGGTGACCCTGAGAAGAAAGGAGTGACCTATGTGGCCCTCCACTATGACAGGTCCAGGTGAGGCCTCTTGCAGAGGTTTTGGGGTCCACCAGGGGGCCCCCAATGGGGGGCCCCCGGGGGCCCCCAATGGGGGCCCCCACGGAGCCCCCCGGGGGCCCCCGGTGGGGGCCCTTTAAGAGGGCTCCTCCTTAAGGGCCCCCAGGGCCTCTGAGTCTGCATCAGTAGCAGCAGCAGCACAACCACTAGCAGCGCCAGAAGCAACACAGCCACTAGCAGCAGCACCAGCAGCAGCACAGCCAGCAGCAGCAGCAGCAGCAGCAGCACAGCCAGCAGCAGCAGCAGCAGCAGCACAGCCAGCAGCAGCAGCAGCAGCAGCAGCAGCACAGCCAGCAGCAGCAGCAGCAGCAGCAGCAGTGTGTGGTGCGGGTTTCTGTGCAGCTCCCCAGTGCCCACGTGGCTTCGGTCTTACATCGCAGCACATTCGCTGCCTTCTACAATGGAGGCCCTTAGAGAGAATGCTTTGCGGCTGGTGGCTTCTTCGGGGAGGGTACTGGACCCGGGGGCCCTCAGGGGCCCCCAGGGGGCCCCCCTGACTGCGCAGCAGCTGGCACTTCTTGACCAGCAGTTCCAAATCCACAGTCCCCAGTGGCGGAGGCCCCAAGAAGGGGCCCCCCAGGACTCAGGGGGGCCCCTCAGAGGGCCCCCGGCCCGGCAAGTCCCTGTTGAGAGGCACCTGCAGCTGCAGGAGCAGCAGCAGGAGCCGCAGCAGCAGCAGCAGCAGGGCCTGCAGCAGCAACAGCAGTTGGAGCTGCTGCAGCTGCAGCCCTCAGGGGCCACCGCAGAGGCCTCCGGTGCCGGTGCCGCCTCAGCCCCTGCAGCAGCAGCAGCAGCAGCAGCAGCAGCAACAGCAGCAGCAGCAGACGAGATCAAGCAGATCGACGTGCACGGAAGCCTCAGAGGGGCCTCTTGCCGTGTGCAGCCAGCTGCTGTACCCCTTAGTCAGGGGGGCCCCTACGAAGTACCCCTGGGGGCCCCCCCAGCTGCTGGTGCAGCAGAGGCTGCCGGAGCAGCAGCTGCTCCTCGGGGACTTCCCTGGCTGCTGCCGCTGCAGCAGCAGTGGGGGCCCCCTGCAGCAGCACGGTGGGCCCTTAGGGGGGCCCTGCGTCTGTTGGGGCCCAAGAAACTGGGGCCCCCCTGCAGCTGCAGCGGCGCGGGGCAGGGGGGCCCCCCAGCGTGGCCACAGGGGGGCCCCCAGAGTCCCCCCTGTGACTTGTGTCTGTTTTCGGGGCCCCCCTGGGGCCCCCAACTGCTGCGCGTGGCAGCAGCAAGAGGGGCCTGGGCTGCGGTGCCTCCCGAGCAGCATTTGGGGCCCGTCACCCCCAAAGAAAGCTGGGGGAAAGGGGCCCCTTGGAGCTGGCATTGAAGGCTTTTGAAGGCCAATTTGAAGCGCCAGCTGAAAGCGCAATTCAGGTGTACGTACACCCCAGAGCAGCAGAAAGAGTTGAAAGGAGGCTGTGGGGCCCCGGGCGCTTCTGAGGCAAGAAGCTGTCTGTGTGTCTGTTTGGCAGCAAAAAGAGGCAGCCTGTGCTGCAGCAAAAAGACAAAAGAAGGGCAGCAGCAGCAGCAGCAGCAGCAGCCTATGGAGAGCCAAAGGGCCCAGAAAGAGCCCAGCTGCAGCAGCTTGGCCCAGCTGCAGCAGCGCGGCAGCTGAATCAGTAGGGCCAGCAGCAGCAGCAGCAGCAGCAGCAGCAGAGCCAAACTTTATGCCTCATTCAGTGCATCTTCTTGTGTCTTTTGCCTTATTTAATAAAATGTTTTAAATTGAAAGTGTGAAGAAGCAAAGAGCAGGCAAAGACGCAAAAGGAGAAAAAATTAAGACACAAAAAAGACTTCTGGGCCCATTCTGCCTATAGACTTATTTGCTGCTGCAGCAGCTGCAGCAGCTGCAGCAGCTGCAGCAGCTGAATGTGTCTCTGCCGTAACAAGCTGCTGCGCCTGAAGCTGCCTCCCTTGATAAATTGCTGCAGCAGCTCTTGCTACTTGCTGCTGCAGCAGCTAGACGTGCCTCTGTTGTTACTAGCTGCAGCAGCAGCTAGAGCTCCATCTTTAACTCGCTGCTGCAGCAGCTAAAGCTGTTTCTTTTGTACGGAGCCCCTGCAGCAGCTAAAGCTGCCTTTAGTATAACTAGCTGCTGCACCTAAAGCTGCCTGTGTTGCTGCTTGCTGCTGCGCTCCGCAGCCTGCCTTCTTGCTGCTGCAGCGCAGCACGCCCCACTAGCTGCTGCCCCAGCCACCTCTCTAACCAAATCTTCCCTGCTGCTTCTGCTGTTCACTTCTAGACCTCCAAATGAGTACAGAGCTGCTTGCTATTCAGCTAGCTAGCAACTCAGCTAGCTATCTCGTTAGCTAGCTAGCCACCTAGCTAGCCACCTAGCTAGCTAGCTGGCCAGCCAGCGGAGGGAATATGGCGTCGCCTCCGTTGCATCCAACTTCTACGGCCTGCAGGCCAATTCATCTACCTACTAAGATGGCTACCTAGCTAGCTGCTCGGCTAGCTATCTAGCTCTCTGCCCAGCTAGCCAGCAACCTTATCTTGCTCGCTAGCCAGCTAGCTAGCTAGCTACGCGTCCGGCCGTCTGCGCCGCGCGCGAGCAGCGAATCTCTACCCGCCTACCACCTGGCTCCGCAGGTCACCACCTAGCTAGCTAGCTAGCCAGCCAGCTAGATGGGTAGCTAGCTAGCTAGCCAGCCAGCTAGCTAGATGGGGAGCTAGCTAGCTAGCGAAGGGAACGGAAGGAAAGTGTACCTTTAAGACTCGCAGGTTGGTTGGTCTATCCTCCCCCCGGCCAAAACAAATCGCGAAAAGAGAAGGGGCAGCGCACGGCCACGGCGAAACGACAGGGAGCTCTTGGGCTCCTGTGCAATCTGGCCAGCAGCTGAGCCCTTTGGCTCCTCAAAAGGCTTTTATTTTCGTGGAAATTAACATTATTAACATTATTTGAAGATACTAAAGCTCGGCGAGGCCGCGGGAGGACAGCGGCAGCCTGCAGAGGACCCGCTCGGCTCGACCCCCGGCTCCAGCTGTCTAGACACCTCAGAACATGCACTAACAGTCCACGGGCAGGAGACACACACACAACCCAAGCACCCCACAGCTGGTTTAGGGGGGAGGGGGCCCCCCTGGGGGCCCCTCGAAGCGCGCACATACCAGCTAACTACAACGCTCCCGCAGGGCACTCAGCAGCTGGCTGACGAGAAAGCTACCTAGGTAGCTAGCTAGCTGCGAGCTAGCTAGCTAGCTAGCTAGCTAGCTGGCGGGCAAAGCGCTCAGGACTCACGACGCCCACATAGGGCCCCAGCGCTGCATTTTCGCTAGCTTGGACAGCTAGCTGCAAGGGAGCGGAGGAGCCAGGGGGCCCCCACCGGGGGCCCCCTTCTCCTTGAGCCAGCTAGCTAGCTAGCTGGCTAGCTAGCCTACGAAAAGACCCCGCCGCGAAGCCGTGTCGGCGAGTGGAAGCGGGCTAGAACAAGTGAAAGCACTAAATACGAAACTCTGGCTGACCCCTGCTGCTGCTGCTGCTGTTTCGGCGGCTGTTCCGGCTGCAGCTGCTGCTGCTGCTGCTGCTGCTGTTCAAGGGTCACCTGAAGCAAGACTGATCTGGCGAAGGGGCCTCTGGGGCCTCCTTTTGTGGAATGCTGTTGATTTGCGGGCAGGAAGAGGCGCTCGAAGCAGAACTGGGGTTGTGCGCCCCGGCCGGGCTGCTGCTGCTGCTGCTGCTGCTGCTGCTGCTGCTGCTGCTGCTGCTCTTCCACTCGCCCGGGAGGGCCCCGGGGGCCTCTGAAACGCGAAGCAAAGAACAAGGCCCTCTAGAATCTAGACGGCAATCCCCAGCAGCAGCGCTGCTGCTGCTGCCGCTAGAACTTACAAAGGAAGGGGCCCCTGGGCTGAGTCCTGGGGGGCAGCCAATGCCCCCCACGGGGAAGGAACTGAACAAAAATGAGAAGTCTTGTTGCAGCTGCAGCAGTACCTGCTGCTGCTGCAGTTGCTCCCGAAGCACCTTCTGCTGTTCTTGCTGCACCTGCTGCTGCAGCAGTTGCTGCTGCTGCTGCAGTTGCTGCTGCTGCTGCAGCTGCTGCTGCTGCTGCAGCTGCTGCTGCTGCTGCAGCTGCTGTTGCACTGCCGTGGACGGCAACGGCAGCACCGCAAGCTGGGCCAGGAGACCCTCTATTCCAAGGTCGGTCTCCGGCGGCGGCGGCTGCTGCTGCTGCTGCCGCTGCTGCTGCCGCTGCTGCTGCTGCAGCTGCTCCTGCAGCTCCTGCTGCAGCAGCTCTTCCTGGCGGTGCTGCTGCTGAATGAGGAACTGCTGCAGCTGCTGCTGCTGCAGCTGCTGCTGCTGCAGCTGCTGCTGCTGCAGCTGTTGTTGCTGGAGCTGCTGCTGCAGCTGTTGTTGCTGGAGCTGCTGCTGCTGCAGCTGCTGTTGCTGGAGCTGCTGCTGCTGCAGCTGCTGCTGCTGCTGCTGCAGCTGCTGCTCCAGCGCAAACGCAGAACGCCGGCTCTGCGCAGGCCGAGGCGGGGGGCCCCTCCTGGGACCCAATCCCTGTCTGGAATGTAATGGGAGAGTTGGGGGCCCCTCGAGGGCCCCCCGGGCCCTGTACAGATCAAGCACGGGGGGCCCCCCCGGGGCTGCTGCAGCAGCAGCTAAGCCCATGCAGTTAAGAAGAGCCTCACAGTCTCGCAGCAGCTGCTGCTGCATCCTGGAATGGGCCAGTTCTGCTGCTGCAACGCCGCTGCTGCTCCTGTAGCCGCTGCTGCTGTTGCTACTCGGGGTGCTGCTCACACTCGTGCTGCTGCAGCCGCTGCTTTTGCTGCTGCTGCTGCTCCCCCCACCGCCGCACTTGCTGCTGCTGCTGCCCGGGGCAGGGATACCGCCAGCGAACCCTAGGCGCTGCGTAGCAGCTGCATATTTCTTTTGTTGCTGCTGCTGCTGCTGCAGCAGCAACTGCTGCTGCTGAAAAAAAGGGCTCTCTCTCACACTCCTCTGACCGGCGCGTTGGGGGCCCCCAAGGGGCCCCCCTTTGCTGCCCTTAGGCCCTGGAGGGAGGGGCCCTGTGTCATCTTGAGGCAGCGGTCGGAGCTCCGCCGCAGAATGCTGCAGCAGCAACAGCAGCAGCAGCAGCAGCAGCAGCAGCAACAGCTGGCCTCTAGGGGCGGGGCAGGCGTGTGCTTCTGCCGTTGCTCCAGCAGCAGACGCAGCATCGAGTCAGCAGCACAAGAAGCAGCAAGATGCAGCGGCAGCAGGCATGCCACAAAGTGCAGCAGCAGCAGCAGCAACAGCAGCAGCAACAGCAGCAACAGCAGCAACAGCAACAGCAGCAAATGCACAATTACCGCGTATTTGCAATTTATGCCAGCGTGGCATCTTCCTCTCATAAATCGAGAACAGGGCGCAGCTTTGAAGTCAGACCTGTAGCAGCAGCAGCAGCAACGGAGAAGCGAAGACCAACGCAGCAGCAGCAGCAGCAGCAGGAGGGGTGGCAGCAGCAGAACGGCAGGCAGCAGCAGCAGCAGACAGGAAAGAACGAACCGAAGCGCGAAACATGAGTGCTCATCCACAGACCGTTTGCTGCTGCTTTTGCTGCTGTTGCTGCTGCTGGTGTTGAAAGACACTGCTGAACTGCTGTTGCTGCTGCGGCGGCAGCTGCTGCTGCTGCTGTTGCTTCTGCTGTGTCTAGCTCTACTACAGGCTCTACTCTGCTGAAGTTTGACTACAGCTACTGGTGCTGCTGTGCGGCTGCTGCTGTCGGCGTGCTGCTGCTGCTGCTGCTGCTGTGCTGCTGTGCTGCTGCTGTGCTGCTGCTCTTGCTGCAGCTCCTGCTGCTCACTTGGAACCAACGCTCCGCTGGGCCTCCAAAGTCTGTGGACGGCGACACGGAGACAGCAGTCTTTCAGCCCCAACATAAGAAGTCATTCATTAGGCAGCAGCAGCAGCAGCAGCAGCAGCAGCCAGAAGCAAACATAAAAAGGAGAAGCAGAAACATGAACTGCAGCAGAAGCCCTAGCCCCGTCCCAGCAGACAAGGTTTCCTGCCCGGAAAAGAGGAGCAGCGCGGCTCCTCTAGACGCTACTCAAGTCCTAAACCCTAAACCCTAAACCCTCAAACACACCACTCCCCCCTCACCGCCGCCACTGCCCCCAAACACCAAGCCCTGAACCCTCTCGGGACCCCCAGCCAGAGCCCCAAATAAAGGTTTAGGGTTTTTATTTCTTGCTTTAGGGTTTAGGGTTTACCTGCTCAGTCTTCGTCTCGGTGTTTGTCGCTGCAACGGGATTCGCTACCCCGCCCTCCTGCAGCAGCAGCAGCAGCAGCAGCAGCAGTGCGCGGCGTTAACCGCAGCAAGCAGCTCTAGACGGCGAATTAGCTACGGGAAAATTGAGGAGCAGCAAAAAAGCTCGCAGGAGCAGCAGCAGCACAAAGCCCACAAGCCTCAACCCCGAGGCTGAACACGGCAGCAGCTGCTGCGCCGGCCGGGCAACGGGATCGATCGTTCCCGTCAGTCCCTCAGGCATGTTTAGTGCTAAGCAGCACTTAAATAGCTTTTTAAGCAGCAAAGAGAGGGTTTATGCAGGGCTGGAGGCCAGCAGCAGCAGCAGCAGCCGCAGGAACAGCAGCACCGGCAGCAGGAACCTCACAGAGGGGGCAGGCTCCACTTCAGCGGTATGTACACCCGACAACGTATTCGGGGGCCTGGGAGGCCCCATTTTTGAATTTGCAAGAATTGAATAACTGCCAGGAGCCGCATTAGTATTGCTGCTGCTGCTGTTGGCGCGGGCGCAGAGCTGCTGCTGCTGCTGCTCCTGCTGCTGCTGCTGCTGTAGTGATCAGTGCGCTGCGCACTGCGGCGTAGTCCAGTGCCGCCACGTCGTTGGTGCAGTCCTCCCTGGATTCCTACTCTCCACGGAATGGCATTTCAAATAAAGATATTAAATAGTTAAAAGTGCCAGAGACACTCGAGATGAAGGGTGCTAATTCTTTTACACTAGAGCCTCACCGCGCTGTGCACACAGCCTCACCCAGCCCCAAACCTGCGGCCAGTGCCTTGCTGCCATTAGGCACGGGCAGCACCCAACCAGCTGCAGCAAAACACTTTTAAAATGGTTTATCTTCGCGAGTGCAAGAAAATAGGCCTTCTCCGGCGGAGTCCGTGGGACGCCGCGGCGCCGCGCGCAGCAGCCTACGCCCCCGCTGCCACCAACCCCCCCAAGTTGCAGATCTCTTGCTGCTGCGCGTTCTGTGGTGGAATTTTCGTTAATTTCGGCTAAGTCCGCGCCCCTAGCCCCTCCCCAGCCCATGTGCTGCAGTGGGGCCTGGGGACGGGGCCCCAGGGCAGCCACTGGTGTTCTTGTGCCACAGTTGTCTGTGCAGAAAAGGCTCGCGGGCCTCCCCCCAGCATTTGCGGCCAAAGTCCTCAGCCTGAAATGTGTGCTGCTGGGCTGCGGCCGCAGCTAAGAAGCTGCAGGGGCAATAAAGCTGTGGGGCTGCGTTGAGTTCAGTCGAGGCACTTGTGCTGTTTTGACTCAACTGAAGAAGTCTAAGGTCAAAAAAGCCCAGGTTGACTGCAACGCAGCGGCGCTTTGCTGGGGAAACTTTTGCCCCAGGTGGCTGCAGCAAAAGCCACGCCAGGCCGCACTACAGCTGCGCTGGAGGCTACGCACCAGAATGAGGGGTCCCACGAATGGGATTATCACTTGGAGACACTTTGTCTTTGCAATTCTGCCGCTGCCTTTGTGACGCAAAGCAACTTAATTTCGCAACTTAGACAGCCAATGGTGCCAGTAAAACTTACATCCCTCCTGTTGCCTGTAACTGCGCTGGAGTTGCAAGATGGCTGTAAGGCCAGTCTACTTAGCTCGAGAGAAGAAGACCCCTGCGCTGCATGTTCATGATAAAAGAAAACCAATTGCTATAGAATAGGGCGCTTGATGGAAGTCGAAAACGACCGCAACGACAACCGTGGTCCTATAGGAACAACCGGGTCGATAGTCCAGCACGCATTTGCTTCCATTTGCATTCCGCCGGCACCTGCTGCTCCTCCTCTGACCTTCTGAAGTTTATCGCATGTCCTCATGACTTCACATGCACTTCCCCTCATGCCTTAACGCAGTGGGGCTCCTCTGCTGCCTTCACACACTGGCGACTTCTACAAAATAGCCAGATCGAATTGGGGTTTGCCAGCTATTGCACAGCTGGTGCTAGCCCTCTTGGCAGAGGTCCCTATGCCACACTCGTAGATAGCACTTTAAAATAAAAAAATGTTTCTGCAGAAGAGCTAGAGGCAGAGCCACTTTGAATGCTTTATTCGGAGTGAGGGAAAGCCACTCCGGCGTGAGCGCTTATTGCCCATGCAGGGAGCCCCACAGCACACCATTATTCCTGCATCTTGCACATATAATCAACCGACTTGTCGCAGTTGCTCAGGGTAAACTGAAATAAAAGGCAGCAGCACTTCGAGCCTGGCACTGCGCCTAATGCTGATTGTTCTAGCACCTTTAGCGGGAGGTCTTTTTGCTTCAGCAGCAGCTGGCGCCGTATCCCCTAAGCCCTAAAACCATAGGTAATCTGCATTTTTTGCTCCAGCCTTAACTGCAGTGACCATAATGATCCTTGATTCTTTTCATCCCACAGCGGCAACGGGGAAGGACCCAACCCACAATCGACAGTGACACGTTTGGGACTTGTAATGTCCTTAACCAGCAGAAAGCCTCTGCTGATTCTTCTACGAAGCATTTCCCAGATACTGCTTCAACTGGAGAGAGGAGGTACTGATTTCTTTTTTCTGTGGGAGACGCAGCTATTCTG